CAGTTGAAACTTGAGTTGTTACTTTTATAGGTTTCATGATAATTATACCCTCTTGATAATCATTTTTCCCAAATTCTGGGTTTTTTGTCGTTTACTTCTCTTGACGTCTGCCAGATTTTTCGCTTTTTCGATTAAATCATCTTTTCTTTTAACCACTCATCTTGTGTGTCAGGTAGGGCAGATACAATTTTCCATCCATATCTTTCAGCTACCCGCAGTGTAAACATTCTGTTTGCAATTTTTTCCTGGACGCTATCTATATAGTTTACAGCATTGTTTACATTTCTTGATTCTACAGCTAGTCAAGTACTTTTCCCACCAGGCGTAATGTGTCATACTCATGTTGGTCCCGGAATCTTTCAAATTTGTGAATTGGTCAGGCATCATTTATTTCTACCCTTTGGCGGGTATCTTGTATCTGGGCGGACACCGAGTTTAACCTATCATTAAATCCTAGAATTGCAGTCTCCAATTTTTTAAACTCTAATAGCATCTTGTGTTCTAAGGCACCTGGGCCTTCATTGTTATCGTCATTTTGATATCGGCATTTGTTTGATTTTCTTGGCATTTCGTACGTATCCTCTATCATTTGGTGTTGGGAACTTTGCCCTTCTTCATCTTGGGTATCTATTCTTGATAGTAAGATCTTGGTTTTCTCTTTTGATTTTTGAACCATTTCTCTTAGCGTTTCTATTTTGGGATCAAGTTCGTGTACCTCATTTTCTTCAGTTGGGTATTCTGAACATATTGACACGGTATCTTCATAGAATGTCTTTTTTTGTTTCTCAGCACGTTTATAGGAAAACTCCCTTATTTTTTGTATTAGGTTAGCCTTAGTTCCTTCAGTTAAGATTCCAAGACCACAGCAAATTGCTTCTAGGTCATTCTTCAAAAGGTTTGTGTCTAACATAGTCTTCTGCTTTTCCTTTCTTTGCTTTTCCTTTCTTTGCTTTTCCTTTCTTTGCTTTTCCTTTCTTTCTTTTTCTCTTTTTTTTTTTTTTTTTTTTTT